CCGCACGGCGATGCTGTCATACGGGCCAAGTGTATGTAGGACCCCAGCCACCTGGAGTTCATCATCTTCGCCTGCCAGGGCCCTCTAGGCCGTCCTGGAGTTCCTGCTGTTCTAGCTAGTTCTTGCTCTTGCTCTCATCCCACAGAGCAGCTGGCTGCCGGTGGCTTTGGCCTGCTGGGTCTCCGTTCCCCCTTTGTTCTGAAAACCAAGGTTTTCCCTTGGGGAACCACCTCTCCCTCACTGTGTTTCCACCACCCAGTCTCTGCCTTGGATCTGGCTGATCAAAACCCCACTTCTTTCCTGGTCCAGTGACTGGTGCAGAAATGGTGTTTCACCAGAACTGGCCAAAGACTAGGCCACTCTGGGACTTGCCTCCAGTCATCTGAGAAATAGAAGGTCTTTCTGCTCGGGCAGGTGGGCTGGGAGGGTGTGAGCCTGGGATCTACAGTTTGACATGTCCTTTCACACCTTCCTCCATTCACTCAAGCATCCTGTCACCTCGGGGCCTTTGCACTGGCCATACCCTCTGCCTGAAACACTCTCTTCCCTCAGGTATTCAGAGCTCCCTCCCTCACTTCTCTGAGCTCTCTGCTCCAGCTGCCCTGACCACCATTTCTCAAACAGCACTGTCAGATTATCCTGCTTTATTTTTCTTCAAAGTGTCTATCACCACTTGTTACATATTTAGTTATTATCTATCTCTCTGGCCAGAGAGTAAACTCAGACCAGGGAACATGGTTCTGGTTCACCCTGGCTTGGAGCACTCGATACAGTGAGTAAATGCATGAGTGGGTCACCCACCACACCTGGCCCCCACTGTGCCCAAGTCAGTCCAACCTCACGGACAGGAGCCAAAGAGGAACTCCCCATTTCCCTGAAGCCACTTTTTTTTTTCAATGAAGGTATAATACAATCATTTACGTGTACATCTTGGTAACTGTTCACATATGCATCTGCGTGAGCACCACCCGAATCAAGATAAGGGGTGTCGGCACAGCCCCAGGAATCTCCCTCCTGTCCCTAGCCAATCCCTGGCCCTATTACATCCCCAGGATTAGCTTTACCTGTTCGAGAATGTTACAGAATTGGAAGACCTCTTTGTGTCTGTCAGTTGCCAGAGCCACTTTGTTTTCCGCCAGCCTGTAACTAGCCCGCACACCCATGCCTGCAGGCCTCCTTTCCGCTAGGGCTGCGGGCTCCCTCCCCTTGGCCTGGCCGCACCACTTGGAGTATTCTGGATTGGTACCTCTCAGAGCTGCAAACCACCGAAATGAATGCTGGCCAACCCAAGCAGAAAAGAGCTTGCGTACAGCCCACCGGTGACACAGACCATCTGGGAGGGTGGGAGGAGCTGGCCTTGAGGCTGTGCAGCGCGGAGCTGCTGCTGGGGACACAGCGAACAAACCATCCCATGGCCCTGCCCTCGTGGAGCTGACCTCACTGGGGAGGCAGGTGATAAATAATAAGCAAGGTAGTGGCGAGTGCAGTGGATGAAAATAAAGCAGCGCGGTGGTGATGCGGGGCTGGGGCAGGTGACATTTTGAGTTGCGCAGTGCACAGCAAAGTCCTTAAACGGGGAGCGAGGGACTGAGGCCACGCAGCTTGCTGGGAGATGAGCATTCCAGGCAGAGGGAACAACCAGTACAAAGTCCCAGAGGTTGACCGTGCTTAGGGAAAGAGCAGCAAAGAGGTCTGAGGCACTGGAAGGGGGCTAGGGTGAGAGGTGGGAGGGAGGGCCGTCCAAGAAAGGGTGGATATGTCCTGCAGGGCCCCAGAGACCTTGGCTTTCACCCCGAGTGCTTTGAAAGCTATGGGCGGTTTTTGGACAGCAGAAAGCTAGCATCCCTCCTGCATCTCCCCTTGCACATACCCTCAAGCCCCTGCGCCTCTTTGTCAACCCCAAACTAAATCCACCTTCTGCCTGCACCTCCCACCTTGGTGAGTTTGGGAGAGAAAAACCCCACAGTCCTAACATTGCTCATTCATGCGGTGTTCCCCCAATTTTTCACACCTTGTTACGGCTTCCAACGTCACATGCTCTGCCCTCCACTGACGTCCTTCTTACCGCGCTAGAAAATAGTCGCTCCATTCGTTTGCTCCCACACTAAAGCCAGGAGCAGTTGTGCCCACACTTTCTGCCTTCCACACAGCTCCAGATGCTGCCGCTCTCTGGCTCTCCCCTGAGTCCACTTTTTTTCCTTCTCCCCGGGGCTCAGACCTCCCCTCTCTGGACACTTAACTCCCCAGGTGATCTCAGCCATCCCCACGATCTCAAAGACCATCAAAACACACTCCCGATCACATGCCTCCAGCCTAGAATTCTCCTGTGAAGTCCCGACACATCCAACCATCTATGTGACCGCTTCCCTTGGAGATTTTGTATGAAGCAAGTCAAAATACACCGACCTGCCTGGATCCCTTCGGCTCGGCTTTATCATCTCTTTGCCCGGGCTTTACGGGCTTTTGCACAACTGCCTGCCCACCAACTCTCTTCAGAGAACTACCCTGGGCTTGGGACCACGTTGCCAACACTCTCAAGAGGATCAGACTGGGTCATACTGGACACTTTGCCTCCACGCCCAGGAGAATCAGATGTGCCTGGGATCGTCAGCTCCTGGGCCACCGTTAGTCCGTGACCTACCAGTTCAGGACAGCTCTGAGATGTCACTTACCCACCCAAGCTCCCTGCGGGCTCAAGCAACAGGTGCCCTCCACGGGACTCTGCCTGAGCTTGCCCCCCTCAGCCCCGCTCCCTCCTGCTGCTTTGAGTCCTCTCTCTTGCACATGCAATCAATCAAGTCGAGCTCCGTCTTCAAATGACATGCAAAATCTGCATGCTTTTCATCATCTTCACCAAGACCACCTGAGTCCAGTCCACCAGCAGCACGTGCCCAGATTAGTGCAGTAACCTTTTTTTTAATTTAATTTTTTTTTAAAGATTCCATTTATTCATTTGAGAGAGAGCGAACGTGCATAAGCAGGGGGGAGGGGCAGAGGGAGAAGCAAACTCCCCACTGAGCAGGGAGGCAACATGGGGCTCAATCCCAGGACCCCCCGAGATCATGACCTTAGCCAAAGGTAGACGCCCAACTGACTGAGCCACCCAGGTGCCCCAAAAACCTTTTTTAAAGTAGGCTCCACATCCAACCAGGGGCTCAAACTCACGACCCTGAAACCCAGAGTCACAGGCTGTACTGACTCAGCCAGGCGCCCCTCCAGTAACCTCATTGGTCTTCCTGCTCCCACTTTTGTATGGTACCATCTCCACACACAGCAGCCAGAGAGTTTTGAGCATGCATAAAAGACTGGAAACTTATATGCTGGCGTATGCTAACACACTAGTAACAGTGGACACGCTGTGCACCAGGCCAGGCACTGTGCCAAGCCCTTTGCAGTCCTTCAGCTGTTCTGTGCCTTTGTGTACCACGCACTCTGCCCTGCTCTGGGATAAGGTGGGGAAAAAAAAGAGGCCAGATCTCTTTCCCCTTTGAGCGGACATGCTGGGTGGGGAGGCTAACCATTATGAAGTGAAAAGACAAATACTTGCAGATTGTGACAAATGCCATGAGAAAAATAAAGAGGGTGATGTGTGGTCACCAAGAGAGGCCTTTGATGAGCCCAGAAGGCTTCCTGGAGGAGGTGATCCCTGAGCTGAAAGCCAAAGGATGAGGAGCTAGCCACACAAAGAGCCAGGTGGGGAGCATTTCAGGCACAAGCCCTGGGGCCAGGGTGGCTGGACGAGTCAGCAAGGGGGAGCCCCTGAGGCAGATGGGGGCAGGGCCTCATGAGCCGCAGTGAAGACTTTGGCTGCTATGCTGAATAAGGTGCGAGCCATGGAGGGTTCTTGAGCAGAGAAGGGGTGTGAACTCACTAGAGTGTTTACAAGCACCCTTTTGCACCTGTGTGAGGAACCGTGGAGAAGGGGAGGTGATGGCAGGAGCCAGGGACCTGGGTAAGGGACTGCGTTGGTTCAGGTGGGTGATAATGGGGGCTGGGAGCTGAAGATGGGGAGGAAGTGGGTAGGTTTGGGAGGTATTTTGGAGGCGGGGCTAACAGGAACTGGGGATAAGGAAAAGAACAAACTCAAGACAAGGAGGCGACACTCTCTGGGGTCTGTACAGGGTAGCGGGTAAGGGCCTGGGGTCAAGGAGACCTGGGTTCAAGTGCCTTCTAAGCCACTTTCCCACTGGCCACCTTCAGAAATGTAACCCAACCTCCCAGCCTCAATTATCGAGGAGAGTAATAAAAGTGGTATATATGGTATGCAGAGAGGAAGTACTCAAGAAATGGTGGCTATTGAAGAAAAATTCCAAGGGTGGGAGTACAGGGAAAGGCAGTGGCCCAGCTAGCTGACAGTGACAGCTGGCAGCAGGGGGCAGCAGCGAGCCTTCAGGCAGCAGGGCAGGGCTCAGCTCTTGGCAGCTTTATAGGTTCAAAGAGACTGCACTAGCCTGTGGGCGCCTCAGGTGCCTGGGCCTGGGGACAAAGCAGGCCTGGGGGCATGTGTCCAGGCCATGGGACTGAGGAGGTGGGCGGGAGGTGGACAGGCCGTCACTGCCTTCTGGAGTCTAGGGATCAGACCCTAATAAGAGGCATTTTGGGGGCACGTGGATGGCTCAGTTGTTAAGCGTCTGCCTTTGGCTCAGGTCATGATCCCAGTGTCCTGGGATCGAGCCCCACATCGGGCTCCTGCTCTGCGGGAAACCTGCTTCTCCCTCTCCCACTCCCCCTGCTTGTGTTCCCTCTCTCGCTGTCTCTCTCTCTCTGTCAAATAAATAAAATCTTAAAAAAAAAAAAAAAAAGCATTTTGTTCAGGAGAAACCTGAGCTGCCTGCGTGGTGGGATTCAGGCAGAGATGGGGCCGGCAGTCGGAGGGCTTCCTGCCCTCCCTCCTTCCCCGGGGAGACTCGCCCCAGCTCAGAGACTCAATCCCAGGGCACTCGAAGCCGGGGTTCCTCCCACCAGCCTCCTACTCCCTCCACAAACACTCCAGGCCCGGGCTCTGTACAATAGGCACTTTATTAGTGGTTGGAATGCAGTTAACACGCAAGAGTGTGCAGACAGAACGGGGGGCCTGAGGGCTGGCGGGCAGGCACAGGAGACTGGGACCCCAGGCTGGGTTTCTCCCTCTCTGGGGTGCCGCCGTGGTGCTGATGAGCAAAGACATGAAGTCAGGGGCCCGGGGATAGGGCGAAGGGGGAGCCAGGAGACCAGGTCCCCGGAGTTCAACGAATTTGGCAAAAGGATTCCTCAAAGTGAGGTGACGGTGGGGGGGCCCGGGTTTGCCCACAGCATCTGCGCCAACCCCTTCCCCTGACATCGTCCCTCGGGTGGCTTCAGCTGCTTGCTCTCTCACAGAGAGAGCTGTCGGCACTGGCGGGAGAAGGGGAGACACTGGGCCGGACGCCTCCAGCCAGCCAGCAGGTTTCCATTAATTAAGCAGCTGTTAGCGGGCTCCTCCCTCCTGCTCTGGTCTGTCCACACCGGTCTGCTCCCGGGTCCCAGCGGCCCTCCCCCTACAGACTCACTCCCTCTCCTTCCAGGACACCCCTGCTGTGGCCTCCCATGCCAGGAGCCACCCCCACCTGGCCTCGCCACTCCCACCCCAGCAGGGAGGGCACGACACAAGGCACTCCGCAGCTGGCCCCATCTCAGCCGTGGAGACAGACAGAAAAAAGCTAATAGACCCTTTAATGCATGTCCGGGTTAAAAAATAATAATAAAGAAACGCGTATGGCAGCCTGTGAGGCAGCTGTTCAGCCGTCGAGAAGGTGCTCGGTCCTGGCCAGAGCAGACACGAGTGAACGGGGGGCCTCAGGGGCCGGAGCTTGGTCATCACTCTTGCAGACACAGATGCTGCCCCATCGGAAGAGGAGAACAGGAAGCGTGAGGCGGCCCACAGAGGTCGGGCCCCTCTGCCTGCCAGACATCAAGAGGCCTCACCAGACTTCTCCCCATCCGGGCCAGCGAGGGCTGGAGTGACCTATGCGTGCAGTCCTGGGGCGCCGCCTGTGAAAACTCCAACTGCCCCTTGGCATAGGGAGGAGAGGCCCCAAATCTGCCAGGTCCCTGGAATCCAGCGGTAACTGGATGGCTGGGGAGGGTGGGGGGAGGCGGCAGTGGTCGGACTTCAGGTGAGCCCAGGCGGCCAGGGGTTTTGACCCAGCTGCCGAGCACCCAGTGTGAGACTTCTGGAGAGGTGGGGGGAGAGCGGGGGGCCTTTAGGACTCAGCCAGCTTCTTGTTGGTCTTGTTCAAGAGCCTCTTGAGGTTGGGAGACATGAAGTAAGGCCTCTCGGCTGAGCCATCATTCCTCTCCAGGTCCTCCACTGTGGAGAGAGGCCCCCAAGACGGTGGCATGAGGGGAACCCATGGGCAGGGGCCTCCGGGGACAGGGTGGGAGGATGAGGGCCACAGAGAAGACTCAGAGGGTTAGGAAGCAAGACACACTGGGACTGGAGAGGGGCAGGCTGTGGTGGGCTCGGGAATGGGACACGTACACGCTCCCCACACTCCCAGGCAGGGTTGCCCCGCATGCACCCCCGGTCTACAGGGAGGAAACGAGGAGGCCTGCCTGGCCCCCACGCCTCCCTCCCTCTCTACTCCTCAACTTCTGCCCGCTTCCCCTCCTCCGCACTCCCCTTCAACAGGATGTCTCTCAGCTCGGGCGACATGAAGTAGGGTCGCTCCTGAGAGCCGTCATTCCTTTCCAGGTCCTCACCTGGGCTCCCCCCAGGAACCGGCAGGGGGAAAATGGGGTGGTCAGGAAGGGAGGGAAAGAGGGAGGCAGGGAAGAACAGGGAAGCCAGCAGGCATGGAGTAGAGGAAAAGAAAAAAAAAACAAAAAAAAGACAGACAGATGGAGAGACCAGAGTTAGTAGCAGCCACAGATCCCCCCCCCCAACAAAGCCGGAAACTCCAAAGCCGAGGGCCCAGGGGCACAGCGTTCTAGCTGCACCCTGGACCAGGGGGCAACAGGATGGAGCAGCTCTGAGCAGAGGGAGGAGGCCAAGAAGGCATGCCAGGGCCCTCTGACGCGGAACAGCTAGTCCCCGGGGAAGCTGGGGGGCTCCTGGCCGTTGAATACATAGCCCCATCAGATGTTATGCCCAGAGGGGAGAAGGCAGCCAGGGCCTGGCAAGGTTGGGTTGAGGGGTCACTCACAGAAGCAGAGGAACAACGTGTCCACACACATGCCGTAGACACTGAAGAAGCCATGGGCAATCAGGTAGGAGCCGATGATCACCGTCTAGGCAAGGGGAGCCAAGCTGTTTCCACCCCAGCTCCTAAAGCAACTCCCACTCCCCACACCCTCCCAGGCTCGGATCCTGTCATTTCCCTGCTGACAAGCCCTCCTTAGAATAACATACTAAGTCCTGCCATTCACTCCTTGCTTTCTTCAACCCCAGGGCCTTTGCACATGCTGTTGTCCTGACTTAGTCAAGTTCTTGTCTTCTTATCCTTCTGTTTTCAGTTCAAACATCAAGTCCTCAGATACCACCTCCTCCAAGAAGTTGCTTCTGACATCTAGACCCTGTTTTATGCTCTCCTAGCACTGCATGCCTGTCCTCTGAGACCTTTGGCTGGCTGCAATTTTATGCGTGTTTAGGGCGTTACAGGCATAATGCCCTCATCCCCACTAGACTGTATCTGTCCCACGTACGGCCACACCCCCCAACAATTTGGAGACTCACAGGGCCTTGGCAGGTATCTGATAAACACTTACGGATTGAAGTGAGTGGACCATGGAGAGATTAAATAACTTGCCCAAACTGACTCATCTTAGAGCGAGCAAATAGAGAACTCAGATAAAAATCTAGGTCATTGGGCTCCAAGGCCTGCACTGCTCTCAGGGTGATGACATTACCCCTTCATGGCCCCACCACCTCCCTGCCCTTATCCCCACCTCCTCCCCCCTACACCAGTCTCCTCACTATTCCTGGCATAGGCCCACCTCAGGGCCTCCGTATTTGTGGATCCCTGTGCCTGGAGGTTCCCCGTATCTCCTTCAGATCTTAGATCCGACATCACTTCCAAAGTGAAGACACCTGGCCTTCCAGGCCTGCCCAGATCCTCCACCACAGGCTCTAACAGTTTAACGGTTCCCTGTAACTCTCCCCTGTGGCACGGATCAGTCTGTAATCATGAGGTCTATTTGCTTCTGAAAGGTAAGGTCCTCTGGAGGGAAGCCTTTCCTGCCACCCCTCCCGCCCCCGGCCTGGTACACAGTAGGTGCTTACTACATGTTTACAGACTGAATAAATCATCAATCCCCCACCTGTGATCTCCATCCACATCTGTCTAGTCAAAAGAGACCAGGAGGCCCCAGCACCTCCTTCTCCCTGGACCCCCACGCATCCCCAAAGGTCCATACCAGTATAGGGACCCAGTAATAATTGAGAGGCGGCGCTGTGTCCTGCACAATCCTGATCCGGTGGGTGAAGAAAAAGAAAGCCAGGATCCCTAAAGAGAGGGAGGAAACCAAGATGGATGAGGGTTCTGGCTAAAGGAAGCCCCCTGCCCATGACCTCAGAGAACATGACACTCGTCACAAAAGAAGGGGAGGGCCAACAGCACTGTGCAAGTCACCCCGACACGCTTGTCACAAAAGAAGATGTGGGGGCCCAAAAGCACTTCGCAAGTCACCCCGACAGGCTCCCACAGCCCCACGGGCTGGCCAGCAGCACTCACCCACACTACCCACGATCAGAAGTTTGCCCAACAGGAAAAGGAAGTCGGTAACTTTGTCTAGGACGGCCACTCTGCAGGGGACAGTGAGAAGCAGGCATGAAGGCGGGCTCAGGGACTGGGGGAGGAGGGAGGCAGCCCGAGGGCCGTGCTTTCCCTGACCTGATGATGTTTCTCATGAGCAGGAAGAAGGCATTCCTGGCCGAGGTGCAGAAGTTGGTGCCGTAGATTGCGATCTGGGGGGAGGAGGTGGAGGGGGGATCAGTCCCACTGGCTGGGAATGAGGGTTCCTCGTCCCCAGCAGGAGCTGGTGGGCTGGTTCTGCGTCCCAGGCCTCCTCACCATGATGTAAGCATTCCTGTTGAGGAATCGGATGAACTTCTCCAAGCACCAGAAGCAGCATTTGAGACAGGTCATGAGGAACTTGGCAAACTTGTTCTCGGCGGCTAAGAGAGAAGGGAGGGATGCAGAGGTGAGGGGAGACCCCTGGTAGGGATCCACCACCCCCCACCTCTTCGTTACATGCACACAGTCCAGGATTTCCGGAGCCCACCTACTCAAAGAGACAGGGAGAGGAAACCTGATGCAGAACCCCTGGGGTCGTGCCCCTCACTCAAGTAGGAACCAACGGGGCCCAGGACTCTCAGCCCAGACCCTGAGGAAGGGCCCTACCATGAAGTCTTCCAACCCAGCCTCCAGGGGGGAACCAATCACAACCCACACTACTGCCCTGGCCCCGCCTCCCAGGCAGAAGCCAATCATCGCCGCCCCCTTGGCCCCACCCCCAAAAGTAACCAATCCCAGCCCCGCCGCTGTCAAAAAGAAACACGCCTCGGCCCCGCCCTTCTCGGCACAAACAAATCTTTGCCTCTTCAGGAACCAATGGTGGCCCAGGCCTCTTGGTCCCGCTCCGCCCCCATCCCCAGAAGTAAGAACTCCACCCAATGGGCTCCCTCAGCCATTCCTCCACCTTGGGAACTAATTGCTCAAACTCCCCACTCCACCCTCCTCACCCCAAGCAGAAACCAATCACAGTCCCATCGCCCTAACTCCGCCCCCCATAAACCAATCCCCGATCTGCCCCTCAGCCCTGCCCCCCAGCAGCCAAAGCAAGCCACCCGAGGGCCGCACCTTTCAGGCGCTGATCCAAGTACTCGAGCATCACTCGGATGATCTGCACAATGGCCAGAATGAGGGCACCAAAGGCCAGGGAGCCTGTGTGGTACCTGAGGGCCAAGGGGGTGGTCAGCGGCCGCGCGAAGGCTCCTCAACCCGATCTCGCCCCCCACTCCCAGGCCACCTGGAGTCCCACCTGAGCGCCCGGCCGAAGGCAGAGAAGAGTGGGAAAGCAGGGAGGTCGTCTGGCTTGTGCAGGGCCCAGTAGTAGGAGGCGAAGGCCCCAGCTAGCGTGACCTGGCCCAAGGCCAGCACAAAGTTGGCCAGCCAGAAGAACATGAAGGCATTGAAGATCTGCAGGCCCAGCAGGGCCCGATGGTAGCCCGACTCACCCCCGTAGAAGGCGAACTGGCAGTGGGCACCAGGGCACAGGCGGGATTCATTGGAGGAGGCGAAGGTCTGTGGGAGGGATGCAGAGCTGGGTCACAACACAGGGGCCAGGGGGTCAGAGCGGCTTCTGGGCATCAGGTCTGGGTCAGATAGACCGTGGGGTGGGACAGGAGTCGTGGGAATCAGAGGTAAGTCAAGGGACTGGGGGTTCAGTTATAGGGGCTTCTAAAAGGGGTTCTAGAAGCAAGACAGGATCGTTGACTTCATGGGGGGCGGTTAGTGAGGCAGGATAAGCTACCCTGGGGATCAGGGCTGGGTCATGCATCAGGAGAGTGGCCACATGGACAAGGACAAGAGTGGCAGAGATCGGTATGAAGACCACAGGGATCAGGAGAGGGGCTTGTGAATGGCAAGGAAGGGGATCTAGAGGCAAGACCTGGCTGTCATTGTGTTAAGGGAGAGGTATGGGGCAGGAAATGAAGTCAACGGGAGAAAGGTGGGTGGTTCAGTAGTCAGGGTGGGCTGGGGGCTGCCAAGTTGGATCTCTCCCCCACCCTGCTCCCCACATCCAGCACTGGGCATACAACAGGCACCGAATGTTTGCTGAATGGTCCCCAGGCAGGGATGAGAGGTTTCAGAGAGTCTGTGGGCTGCTGGGGAAATAGTCGACCCCCACCTCAGGGTTGCAGGTTTTCCCAGCAAATTGGCAGGTACCGCCATCAAAGATCTTATAGATGGCTTCGTTGGAAGTGGACAGGAAGCTGGAGGTTCATCAAGGAGCCTGAGGTTTGGGATTGGGGCCCCGGTGGCTTGTGAGAAAGGATCCATTCCCCTACCGGGTTCCGGTCTGCCCCCACCCCCCGAAGCTGCAGGTCACTTCCAGGCCAGTTTGGCCCTTAGCCACCCCCGGGGTCAGGGATCCGGGTCTGAGGGTGGATACACAGCAGTGCTAGCCCAGTAGGCGATGCAAAGGCACAGCAGGAAGAAGGTGACCAGTGGGTACAGCAGGGAGCACATCACGTATCCCACAGCCCTGGGGAGGAGTAGAGACACAGGCATCAGGGCCCGAGCAGCCCCGGGACCACCCCAGCCCAGCCCCGGGGCACCCTGGCACCCACCTGCTAGCTTCTTTGATGAGCGCAATGGCGATGAGAATTCTCTTCCGCAGGAAGATGAGCAGCAAGATGATAATGGCCTCAAGGATGCTCAGAATGATCACTGTGGGGGGCAAAGGGGGGCCCAGTCTGCCAGCCGCCTGTCCCCACTCCCTCCCAGGCCTCACCGGGGGCAGGATGCGGGGAGGGGATGGGACTCACTGAAGGCCATCCACGTCTGCCTCAAGTGCAGATACACGCGGAGGTCTGTCTGGAAGCCAAGGTCCACCAGGGAGATGTCGGAGCCAGCCTCGCCCCGCAGTCGCACGTACTCCATGTAGCAGTGAAATATTCCTGCACAGGGGACCGACCTCAGCCCACTGGCTGCTCCCCCAATGTTGCAGAGCAGGTGGGAGCACCCCCATTTAGCAGAAGCAAGAACCAAAGCTGAGAGCGGCTGCCATTGCTTGTAACTGCCTCCGAGCCTTTGTAAAGATTGATTGATTGATTATTTGTGAGAGAGAGAGAGAGAGCAGGGGGAGGGAAAGAGGCAGAGAGAGAATCCCAAGCAGACTCCCCAATGAGCACGAAGCCCGATTTGGGGCTCGATCCCAGGACCCTGAGATCATGACCTGAGCCGAAATCAACAGTCAGATGCTTAACCGAATGAGCCACCCAGGCGCCCCGCCTCTGAGCCTTTGTACTTGCTGTTCCCCCGGCTTAGTACTGGATTTCTCACACCCTCCTGTCTCTACTCAAATACCACTTTTTTTTTTTTTAAAGATTTTATTTACTTATTTGTCAGAGAGAGAGAGCACAAGCAGGGGGAGCTGCCGGCAGAGGGAGAGAGAGAAGCAGGCTCCCCACTGAGCAGGGAGCCTGACGCGGGACTTGATCCCAGAACCCTGGGATCATGACCTGAGCTGAAGGCAAACACCTGACCAACTGAGCCACCCAGGCATCCCTCAGAAGTCACCGTCTAAAGAGACCTTCCCAAACCACTTCTCCCATTTCGAATCACCCCCCCACACACTCAACCTCTTGGCCCTTCTCTCTGCTTGGACCTTCTAGAGGGTTTTCTGGTTTATTATTATTATTTTTTAAGATTTTAAGTAATCTGTACACCCAACATGGGGCTCAAACTCACGACCCCGAGATCAAGAGTCACAGGCTCCCCCTGGTTTATTATTTCTTGTCCATCTTCCCCACACCCCCAGGACCTAGAAAACTGCCTGGGGACACACAGGCACTCGATCCAGACTTGATGCACACATGCATAAATGAGCGGCTGAATAGGTGCCAGGTTGCTCTGTGACCTGAGGCTTTCCTTCCCACCTGGTAACAATGATTCATGGGTGGGGACTGAGGCTGTGGGTATTAACATCCCGTGGGGTGGCATCGGGGATTTTCAATATTCCCCTTAGCTTTTTGTAGAATAAAACTGTAAAATGCAGATAAAGTAAAAAACAAAACAAAACAAAACAGGGGTGCCTGGCTGGCTCAGTTGATAGAGTATGTGACTCTTGATCTGGGGGTCATGAGTTCGAGCCCCACGCTGGGTGTAGAGATGACTTAAAAATAAAATCTTAGGGGCACCTGGGTGGTTCATTTGGTTAAGCATCTGCCTTCGGCTCAGGTCCCTGGGGTCCTGAGATCGAGTCCCGTGTCCGGCTCCCCGCTCAGCACAGAGTCAGCTTCTCCTTCTCCCTCTGCGCCCCCCACCCCAGCTCATGTTCTCTCCTTCTCTCTCACTCACTCTCTCTCAAATGAATAAATAAAATCCTTTTAAAAAAAATAAAATCTTAAAAACAAACAAAAACCATTTGCCTAAAATGCCAGCACCCAGCTAGAAACCATCATTAGCGTGAATATTTTAATATCTGCGTCCTCACGTTGGGCTGCCTATGAGACATCTTTCCCCCTGGAATGTTTATCTGAAGTATCAGAATGTGAAGCACTGGGTTTTGTGCATTGCCTCTGGGTTGCACAGGCCTGAGACCTACAGGGCCCTCCCCCCATCTCGTCTGTACACTTTTTCCCATTAAGCCTCATAACTAGTAAATACTAATTAGCCCCCACTTTATAAAGGAAGAAATTGAGGCATGGGGAGGTTGAGTCACCTGTCCAGGGTCACAAAGGAAGGAACTGGCAGAGTCGGCCTTTAAACCCCAGCTGTCTGGTGCTAACGCACACATCTTTAACCATGTAGTCTACTTGAGAATGCTTTTGGATGTAGATAAAATGCAGATCCAGGTCCCACCTGGAAGGCTATGATCTAACTCATCCTCCATCGATAAACACGGAGGTTATTTCCAAGTGCTTACTCCCATAACCAAGGCTGAGATGCACATCTTCACAAATATGCCAAATAAAAGACAGATGGCTTAGGACAAGATTCTGGATGGCCACTGTCAGATCAGAGAGCAGAGGCATTTTGCGGGCTGTGGAGTGGGGAGGGTGCAGGGATGGGGAGACGTACCGTAGCCCAGCACCAGAATCACCATGATGATCATCACCCAGACCATAATGCCGGCCAGGAAACGGAGCAGGACAATGAAGAGGAGGCTCATCAGCATGGCGATGACCAGGCCTCTGGGGATAAAATGGGGGCATGAGCAGACCGCACCCTCTCACCAGCCCCAGGCTACACAGACTGGGGGGGCCACTTTCCCTCCCAACTTACATAACTATCCAGTACCAGGAGACCGTGTAATCTTCAAATATCCGCATGGCCAGCTGCCGCGCCTCCAGGACCCCGTTGGCCTTCCTGGGGACAAGCAGACAAGGCTCATGTTGGAGCCCCTCCCCGATTGGGTCAGCCCCAGGGGACACCCTGGCCCACCCGGGGAAAGTAGGACCCCGAAGTAGGACCCCGATGTGGGCGGGCTGCGGTCCTCACTTGGCGCCCTCCACCAGCTCTGTGATGTTCTTTCGAGAGCCATGCCCATCCTCATAGGTCGTCTCGTTGCCCACCATGAGGACCCCCTTGTGGGCGTGGATGGCTGGGAAGCATCGCTGGGCCACTGCGTGGAGCAGGGAATGAGACCAGTCAGGCTGAGCCCCTGAAACCTCCCCCCGCAACTGCCGCCCCTCCCCCACCGCCCCCCCAAGTTTGAGGAACCCCAGACTCACAGGGTTTGCTGGGGATGAGGACAGCAGGGCAGTCACCATCCCGAAGCACTTCAGCTACACCCTAGCAAGAAAGGGGGAGAGGGGTTCATGCCCCAGGCCAGGACCCTCCACCCGCTCCCCCCCCCGCCCCCTAGGCTCCCCTAACCTTGGTGTTCTGGAAGCCAGGCACACAGAACTGTTTGTAGTACTGAAAGTCCTGGGATTTGTGGGCGTTCAGGTAGGTGAGATACCGGTCGGGGCATTTCTCCACGCAGATCTTGGAGGGGCAGGAGGCAGGGGTTGGGTGGGATCAAGACAGACACCTGATCCCCACACAGGACAGAGGCCCCACCTCCCATTCACCGGGGAAGAAAAGGACCCGGTGATGGAAAGCAGGGGTAGCAACGAAGATAGGGGAGCGGCCGAATTACCTGAGGGGTGGGACATTGGAATTCCAGCAGGACCAGGGGGCTGGCACACTTCACAATGTTGAAATAAAACAGGTAGGGTTTGTTCCTAGAATTGGGGAAGGGAGATGGAAACTCAAGATTTCTCAACCTCCCTATGTGTAATATCTAATGCAAACAATTCTAGTAGCAGCAACCCTATTCTAAGCTCTGCCTGGTGGCTCATCTAACCATCCCAACAGCCTCATGACGGTGGGGCTGGGATGAGCCCCGTTTCAGAGATGAGGAAAAAAAAGGCCCAGAGAGGTTGGGACACTCGTCCTAGCTCATACAGCCAGGGAGTGGCACAGCCTGGATTGAACTTGCTTTTAGCTCACCTGTTTAGCTCACCCGGCTTGACATCAGATCCAGGACGGTCTCCTCTCTGTCCCTCCCCTAAATCGTGAGCTCCCAGAGGACGAGACTCTTAATGTCTCATTTAGTGTAGTGTCCTCGAGGCCTAGGACAGCGGCTGGGGATGGTGGGAGCCTAGAACCTTCTCCCCAGTGCTCATGAAGCCATCCTGCCCACACCTCTGCAGTCCCACCAGGCCCCAAGGAGCCAGACTCACGCATTTTTTGTGCCCTTCTGCCCGCAGAACTCGCCTCGGCTATCAGTGGGGTAGATCACCTTCCGAGGGTCCCCATGGGTCCAGGCTGTGGAGGGATCCAGGGACACTGAGGCACTGTCATTCCTCACCACCATCCCCATGTCTGCCCTAGAGGCTGTGGCTTGTCCTCCCACCTTGGAAGCCCAATCCTGTGCCCTCCTCCACTCACCTATGATGCCCACTGCCACGTAGCCCACAATGGCCAGGAGGAGGAACACACAGCAAATGATATCTGTGCAGCCCCTGGGGAACAGAGAACAGCATCAGGGTGGGAGCCTTGGGGCCCTGTGCATCACGGACCCCACCCTGCCCTGCACATACACCCACATTCATGTGTTATCTGGACATGTGTCCTTAATGGCGTGAATGCTGTACCAAAGAGCACGTACATTTCACTTTTTTTTTTTTTTTTTT